TTTAAACCAGAGTTCACAAGTATCTTGAGATGGAGATGTTCACCATAAGCTTCCCAAAGTATTCAGCAGCACTCTCTTCAAAGTAAAGTAATGAATTATAACTTCCTGCAAATGTTTTGTGTGTGTTTTTTGGCACAAAATTCGACATTTTTTAAGTGTAAAAATATCTGTGATGTTAACACCTTCAGCAAATTTGACATAAGAAATTTTGAAGCTTGTTGTCAATACAAGAAAATAGCATACATACCAAATCGCATATGTATCAACATAATAATGTGTAACTCCATCTATTGAAAAAATCCGCATCATTAACTGGCACACCTAGTAAATGCACAGGGCAGGCTGTTCTTGCCACTTACTCTTCCGGCCCTCAGTTTTTCCATCTGTGTAGTGGGGATGACCATGCATACTCCTGGGTGTCTTTGAAAACTTCAATGAAATGATACACGGGAAGTGCTGACCCCAGGGTCCAACATGGAGCACGTGCTTGACACATGCCAGCCGCTGCTGTGACCAAGTGACATGGAAGGAGCACTGGCCAAAAGGCCATGGCTCCAGCTGCTGGTCTAACATGAGTCACTCATGGAGTGGCCTTGGGCAAGTCCCTTTGCCTCTTGGGGTCTCAGTTTCCCCTCTCCATGCCAGGTGGGCCGAGGCTGGGGGCCCTTCCTGCTCCCCGCTCCCCTGCAACACGGTCCATCTCTGAGTGTTCACCTGGATTAGTGCAGGGCACGGAGACCTGCACCCAGCCCTGGGCCCAACAAGCACTTTGCTGGGTGAGAGACAGGCATCTTGGAGAGTTTTGCAGAAAGTTCAGCTCTGGCTCTTATCAGAGGCTGTAAATCTGCTGGTTGTCATGACTACGGGAGAGCAGCCACTAAGCTCCAAGTCGCTGATTAGCAGGAAGGGAGCGGGAGGCCTTGTGGAATCAGCACTCAGGCCTCCCTCTTTCCCTCCCTCCGTGAGGTGGAGCAGCTGCTGGCCTTTGACGCCACTGTGCCAGCCTCCCCTGAAGAGCCTGCCTTCTTTTAAGTTTTTTTTTAATGCAGCATCGAAGGGCTGTGGTAAAACGCATCCTTCTCAGCAAAGGTGGACACAGCGTTTTCTTAAAACCCTGCAAAGCCTGGCCCACGTGGCTCAGTGGTTGAGCATCGACCCATGAACCAGAAGGTCACAGTTCGATTCTGGGTCAGGGTACATACAGGCTCAATCCCCAGTGCTGGGTGAGCAGGAGGCAGCCGATCAATGACTCTGTCTCATCATTGATGCTTCTATCCCTCTTTCCCTCTTCTTTCCTCTCTCTGAAATCAACAAAAATATATAAGTATGTATATATTTTTAAAAACCTGCAAGGATGCAGATTTGGAGGCAGGGAAGGGAGATGGGCGAGGCCATGAAGGGAGGGCAATTTTAAGTTGCAGCCAGACCACTATCCCTGTCTCATCAATGCATCACTAGGAGCTCCCCATCCTGGATTCTGAACCCTGAGAAGGCAGTGATGGATGAGGCATCGTCTTCAACCTGAGCCGATGCCCCACCATCTCCCCCTGCCTGCAGATGACCCGTGTCCCTGCTCTCTCCCTGTGCAAAGTCACCAGGCCCTTCTGCCAGTGCCCGGACTACTCACCGTGCATTCCTTCATCGCCCACTTCCTCACACCAGCTCTCCGAGTCTGCCTGTGACAGGGCCGCTCTGATCTGGATTTGTGTCTTATCTTCCTACAGTGCCCCAGAGTCGGAAACACCGTCCTCCTGCGTGTCCACCTCATGATCTGCTGGGCCATCCCAGCTCATGGATCGCTTTTCTCAGAGACAGAGCAGGTGGAACAGAGCAGGCAGGGATGGGGCCTGTTGAGTAGACTGAGGCACGGGCTAGCTTACTTCCACTAACTGTAGCACACGGGGATTCGCTCAAAGTATCTCCAAAGCCCTTGCTAGCTTTTCGAAGCAAATGTTCTCTGCAGCCATGCATGAGCTCTTTAATTTATTCCTCGAACTTACATTGCTGAGTGTTTGCTAAGCAGCAGGCTTGGGGCAGGAATACATGACCCTACTCTCAGGGAGCTCATATTTTAGTGTGAGAGAAGACAGTGAAATGGTCCTAGCCCATGGTGAAGAGTTGCAGTGAGGGTACCAAATGGATTAGCACATCCTGGGGAAGGGGTCAGACCGCCCGGGGTGTCTGCCCCCCACGTCGCCATGTCCACTTCAGCGGCGGTGACTCCGTCTGGCCAGCGGCTCAGGCATTAAACCTTGGAGTCCTCCTCGAGCCCTCCCTCCCTACTCTTAGTCTCTTGCACCCCAATTTAGCCAGCAGCAAAGGACGCTAGTTCTACCTTCACAATGTGTTAGCATCTGACCGCATCCCGTCACTTCCACTGCTGCCCGCTGCGCTGAGCCTGGACTATTGCTGCAGTCTCCTCGTCGCTGTCGTTCCCTCTGTTCCATCTGTGTCTCCAGCCATTAGAAGGATCCTTCCAAAACGCAAACCAGACCGTACCCCTCTTCTGTTTAAGAGGTTCCTCATGCCGATCCCAGAAGACCCAGAGTTCTCCCTAGGACCAACAAAGACTGGTGTCTGATCTCCTCTCTGATCACTCTGGCCCTTGTGTATTCCCAGGCGCTTTGAACTTGCTGTTCCTTCTGCCGGGAGCACATGTCCTGCTTCCTGCCGAGGCCTGTGTAGAAGTCATATGTTACTGGGCAACAAATTACCCCAAATCTTTGTGGCTTAAAACAATAAACAGTTATGTCTCAGTTTCTGTGAGTCAGAAATTTGGCTGGGCAACTGGCTCACCCTCCCTCCTGTGATTGCGGTCAGATGCCAACCAGGGCTGCAATCTTATCTGAAGGCTGGATGGGACTGGCTCCGCGTCCATGGTGGCCACTCCCGGGGCTGGGTGGTACTGGCTGTCGGCAGGAGGCCGTGGCTCTCCTTCACCTTGGGCCTCTCCATGCGGCCAGCTTCCCTGGACGTGGTTAGTTCAAGAGTGTGGCCGAAGCTGCCTTTTTACCTAGACTTGGAAGTCACATGTTGTCACTCCTACTGACTTATTCTGTTTTCTGTAATTTATTGTATTCATTAAAAGTGAGTCACCGGGCGCATCCCATACTCAGGGGAAGGAAATTAGGGTCCATCTTCTGGTGGCTGGAGTGCCAAAGAGTCTGTGAACACAGGGCCAAACCATCACAGCTGCAAGGTTGGTCCCTAGCCCTTCAAGTCTCCACCCCCTTCCTTCCTCAGAAAGGTCTTCCCCAGTTACTCTGCACAAAATAGCAGTCACCCCTCTCACTCCCTAGTCCCATTTCTCTGATTTATTTCTCCGTAATTTATTACACCCAATAAGCCTGATTATTACTCACTTGTGTGTTTATTGCCTGTTTATTATCCCCATCTGGAATGTAGACTCCTTGGTCACGGGGACATCTGTTGTGTTTGTTCACTGCAGCCCTGCACTAAGAGCTGACCTGGTCACATTGCTGACCCTCAGGGCATGGGCGTTCATAAGTGCAGTCAGCCCCAGCCAGACAAGTGTTAGGGGAGGCACGCCTTGCTGGGGTCTGGGCAGAAATGGCAAACCTTGAGTTGTCTGAGAAGAGCCAGGACAGATTCCACATGGACAGACTGGCCTGGGCAAAGGCATGGAAGTGGGATCCTCAGAGGAGAGGCTGGGGGAGGGGGGGGAGGGAGAGGTGCAGGGGACACAAGCTGAGCAGGATGGAGGGAGCTCTGGAAGCATGCAGCTGGCAGTGAGGAGGGCTGGGGAGCCCTGACCTGAATGTTCATTCCTCCTGGGCTGCATATCTCCCCGCTCTGCTTCTAAAGATGCACCGTAAGCAGCTGGCAGAGATGGATGCCTTTGCTGTCCTTCCTTCAATATTGACTGGGCTGGGCCTGCTCTCCTGGCAGCCCCGAGGAGCAGGGGGCTTATCAGATGCATTCATCCCGAGTCGTAAAACCAATCTTGATGCACTGGCTGCAGCAGAGGGGGGCGTGAGAACTGCCGACGCTGCTGATCGATGCCGGCCCTGGAGTGTGCGGGCAGGGCGGGCAGGGCAGGCGCTGCTGGTGGGCGCCAGATCCACCTGTGACTCTGGATTGCTGACTCCTCCTGCTTAGGAGCCAGCAGATTTAAGTGATAGACTCTTCAAAGATTGAGTAACTAGGCAACTTCTTTTCCCTCCCCGGGACTCAGAGAAGGAGGGGGAGCTCAGGGAACTGGCTGTGTTGTTTGGAGCTCATCTTAGAGGCAGAAGACAGAACTTCAGGCCTTCAAATGAGTGGCCTCAGACCTGGTCCGGCACCAGGTGGGAGGGTTGGTTCCCAGGGAAGGAAAGGGAAGGAAGCAGACACTTTTTAGGTCTTCCTGTTCACTTACTTTCTCTTCACCACAAGTCAACAACATGGGCTGATATGGGCTGATATTACTCCCTATTTCATAACTTAGAAATCGGTCGAGGAGCTAGCCCCTGGTCCTAAAGCCACTATATGGTGAAATTTGTATTTAAATTCAGGTATCTCTGTTCCATATACATATAAGGCAGGAAAAAAATGGAATTGAAATGGCAAAGAGGAGTTGGAACTAGTGACATCATGCTTTGGCCTCAAATTGTGTCTTGAGGAAGGAAGTGAAATGCTGGTTTCCAGCCTCTCGCTGTGATTTAGTCAGGATAGGGTTTGCTGTGCTGCAGTAACAAATAACTCAGCCTCGGTGGCTTCACCTAGCTAAGGCTGATTTCTGTCATGCAAAGTCTGACGTGGTTAGGCATCTCCACTCCATCAGAGTGGCTGTGACGGAGGAACACAGTAAGACCTTACTGTGTCAAACTAGACAGGACATGGCATTCCCACCCAGAGACCATTGGTCCAAGATAACCCCACAGCCCCAAACTATCTGCCAGGAAAGCTGGGCTATGCTAGGGCATCTGAGAAGGTATGACGAGCATTGCGAGTCTCTGACACAGTCTAACACGTTTGCTTCCTTATTTCTGTTCCTGTAGGACAGAACCTCAGAACAGCCCCATGGCTCCGGGTCAGGATGGACCCTCTGGAAAGCTGAGCCAGCATCTGGCCACAGAGGCCTCGGGCACCAGCTGGGAGAGAGACAAGGCCTGCCGGGAGCGCAGTCCTGCGAGAGCACGCAGGTGAGGTGCTGCCCCCTCCTCCAGGCCAGAGAGAATGTGCAAGTCAAGGAGGCAGAACTGAGTCTGTCTCTCTGGCCACTCCTCCCCTCAGGCTATGCAAGCTCCTCTTTCCACCCTGACATCGGGATCAGCAAGCCTCAGCTCTCCCCAGAGGCAAGGGCTTCCTGGGTGTTACCCCATCTGCGTCTAGGACAGCGGTTCCCAAATCTTGCTCCCCTGGGACTCTCGGGTTCCAGAGAGAAGTGAGAGTTATTGACTGAAATAAAGATCTTTCTGTTTCGCCCCTTAAGTATCCCTCCTTAAATACTTGGGATTCTTTTTTCTCTCAAATTCCCGGCCACTGTTACATTGGGGAGTGTTTATATGAAAACAGACGATTTAACATGTGGCTACAGTATTTCATCCACTCACCCCTCATTTGGCCACTGACCCAACTATTCATTAGGCTCTTCCTCTGTCGGCACTCTTTGAAGGGAAGATTTGGAGGTGGCTACCTCAGTTACCAGCAGCCTGTCTGCTTCCGGAAATCCGTAGTGCCCTCCGAGTTTTCTCACATGGAAGTGCAGTTAAGCAGCTGAGTCGCAATTCCCTTGATATGTAGGTTTAACCCACGGAAACTGACTCTCTCGCAAATATCCTGGCTCTAGGTCTATGATTTCTGTCCTGGCAATGCGGAGACCTTAGCGTATGTTGTAACCACTTGATCATTTTTTCCCCCACTCACCAAAATGATCAGGTTCTCGGAGTAGAATTCAATATGGCAGCGTTTTATGCTGGTCTCGAGAGAGCTGGGTACTTTCCAAAAGCATGGCCGCAGAAACGGGACCCAGAGGGGGCGGGTTCTGTGGGAAAGCCCTCAGGGCAGGGGCCAGGCTTCCGGCCTGCAGCGCAGGCAGTAAGAATCAGCCCCTCTCACCGCATCAGCGAGCACCCAGGCATGGAAAATGCTCGGCGTGTATGTCCTAAGAGAATAAATGGTAATTGCATTATGGCTAATAAAGACAATAATATTCTTATTACTATGTCATTTTCCCACTGTGGACCAACTGGCTTGGCATGTTTCAATTTCCAAGTGGTTTTTCATCCCCAACCACCTCCTTTTGCCACGGGATAGTATTTTAAAAATATCCCTGGAGCCTGCCCCGATTAGAATAGGAGATAGCTCGACTCCATTTAGCTGCAGCCAGAGCATTTGAATTTAATTGAATGGGAAATAATTATTCCTGAAAAGCGGAGAGTTTTGAGGTTCTGCGGGGCGATATAAGATATGGTATCTCATTACATTAGGCCTCAGCAAATATACTTTCCATAATCAGCTGCCACTTAACACAGACGCCTCCTATTACATTCCAGTAGGCACTATACCCACCAGACGGATTGGGGAGGGAAGGGGCCGGACTGCCGATTAATTATTTAAAAAGCGATTTATTTACCAAGGTGGACCATTTGCAAGTTTGATAGTAAATCAATTAAGGAGCAGTTAGCCTCTATAATTTTGTTTTAAATAATCGGTTGGTGTTTGGGCAACGTACAGCGTCTGTCTCATTAGGTCGGCATTAACTCCTTGTGTGAGGCGCTCAGTCTGAAGGGTGCCCATCCAGCCGCGAGGCGGTAATTAGGGGCCCGCGCTGGGTCCTTCTTCCCTGGGTGGCCTCAGCCCTGAGGGGACGCGGGAACCCTGAATCCTCTAAGGCCAGACTCTGTGCCCCTACAGCGCCTCCCGCGACAAAGACCGGACGCCACCGCCGTCCTCCCGGGGGAAGAAGAAGAAGAAGAAGTCCACCCGGAAGAGGAGAAGGAGGTGAGGCCCAGGGAAGGGGGCGCCTGGAAGACGGGGGACGGGGTAAAACGGGGGCCACAGGGGCTTCAGAGCCAGTGACCCCTTGGGTTGAGGTCCTCTCTCTGCCTCTCAATTAGCTGTGCGACCTTGAAGAACTCACTTCACCTCTCTGCTTCCACTTCTATAAAATGAGGGTAATTCCTACCTCTTGGGATTTCTGTGTGAATTAGTTGGAAACCCAGATGCGGAAGGCGCTGTCAGTGTCTGACACATAATGACCAGTTAACCGAAGCATCGTCATGACCGTGAATATTGACTTGGGTTTTTTTTGTTTTGGGGTTTTTTAAAACTCTCTCTGTGTGGAGCGCTGGCTACGCACTGTGTCCTCCATAACCTCATCTACCCTTGATCACAGTCTACCCAGCAAGCATACTGTCCCCATTTTAGAGATGAGAAAAGAAAGGCACCGAGAGGGGGCGGCAGAGCCCCCAGGGACCTGACTCCGGGCTCCTCATTGGGCTCTGGCACGCCCACCAGCAAGGTTAAAGCCCAGGATAACGGATGTTATATTTGCGCCAGCTATGGATTCTGTTGTATCCTATGATTTTTTTTTCTATGTACAAGTTCTTTTAATTCTTTTGTGTTTAAAAAGATTCCCAGATATTCTTCTAAGCTGCCGCTCATTAGACCCTCAGTGGTGGGCAGAGACCTTAGAAGGGGGAGTTGAAAAACCCCACCAAACCTGGGAGGCAGTATTCGAAGAAGCCTGCAGGGGGCAGCAGAGAGGAGTGTCTGAGTGACAGGTCCCAGGACACCCCTTTAGCCTCCTCCTAAGAGGGCCCAGAGGGGAATGTGGATGAGACCCAGACTTCCAGATATTGTGCGGTGAGCGGAGGAATTGGGGCAAATAGCTTATGCCTCTGGATCTCAGCTTGGGGAGCACATAAGAACACTTCAGAGAAGGAAAGCACGGCCATCAGGCTCCCCTGAGTCATTCTCAACCAGCAAAGCCCACAGGGCTTGTGTGTGGGGACAGGCACTGTGACTCCGAGGACGGACTGCCCTCCCCAGGCAGGCATGTTTGCTGGCCCTGCCAAGTGGCTTTTGTGTGTGTGTGGGGGGGGGGGTGTCTGGTTTGGTTTTGGTTTTGTCTTTTTAATTGGTGGCCAACGTTTAAAAGCCAGGAGATGTCGCATACAAAGATGTTTGCTGGTGACTTCTATGGAAAGGGGCCTTTGTGGCAGCCCGGCTACAGCCCCACACGGACCCTCGGCTGGCTCAGAAGCCTCCTTCAGCCCGGTGCTCTCTGCCTGGCCACAGTCCCCACACTCCCTACCGCCTGACCCCAGCTGCTGCCTCCGTTGAGTGTGAAACACCGAACCTTTTCCAGCCTTGTGCTCTGTCAGGGGGGGGAATCAGAGAGAGCAGGGACCAGCCCATGGTGACCTCCTGAGTCGGTAGTAAGGTCCGGATTGGAACTCGGGTCACCTGACCCTCAGCCTGACGTTTCAAACAAATACTTTGGTGTGTGTGTCACTGAGAGAGCTGAGGCCAGCGCCGGGGCTGGAAAGGGTCTTTTTTAAATCATCCCCGGCCTTTCAGAGCCCCCCTCTGACGGGTCTCCCTCTCCTGCAGGTCCCCGTCCTACAGCCCGTCACCTGCCAAGAAGAAGAAGAAGAAGAGTTCCAAGAAGCACAAGCGGCGCAGGTACAGCCCCCCTCCTCCCTCCTCCGCCAGCAGGGGCGGCCCTCCTCCTCCCCTCCTTCCTCCCCTCCCTCCTCCCCTCCCTCCTCCCCTCCCTCCTCCCCTCCCTCCTCCCCTCCCTCCTTCCCTCCCTCCTCCGCTCCCTCCTCTGCTCCCTCCTCCGCCAGCAGGGGCAGCCCTCCTCCTCCCCTCCCTCCTCCGCTCCCTCCTCCGCTCCCTCCTCCCCTCCCTCCTCCCCTCCCTCCCCTCCCTCCTCCGCTCCCTCCTATAGCAGGGGCGGCCCTCCTCCTCCCCTCCCTCCTCCGCTCCCTCCTCCCCTCCCTCCTCCCCTCCCTCCTCCTCTCCCTCCTCCCCTCCCTCCTCCCCTCCCTCCTCCCCTCCCTCCTCCGCCAGCAGGGAGGTGCAGGGGTGGGGGGTGGGGGTGGAGGTGGGGGCGGGGGTGGGGGGGCAGGGGGACGAGGGGGGGCGGGGAGAGTGGTGGCACCCAAGGGCATTCCTCCGGGAGCATTTCAGTTGCGTGGAGTGTTTCTCTGGGAATTGCTCTTTTGTTTGTCTTTATCTCTTGCACAACCTGAGACCCTGGTGCGAGGGCCAGAGGCCCACTAAAGCCCTTGGGCCGAGGGGACGGGGCGGGTCCAGGCAGGGGTGTCCCAGGACAGCCAGGCCTCCGTGAGGCTCTAGAACGGGGCGGGGGAGGCAGATGGTCCCCGCTCCCGTGGGAGCCACGGCGGCCCCGCTGCTGTCTCTCCCCACGCGGGCCCAGCCACAGGGAGACGGCTCTCCATCAGAATCCCCCGGGCAAGGCCTCGCGGTCGGTCCCGGGTCCCAGGCGGAATCCTGCAAACAGGCTCTGGGATTGTCCCCCTGTGGACAGGTCGGGGCATCAGAACTGGACACCCGTCCCACCGGGTCCCAGTCCGCACGCAGGCGCACACAGACGTGTGGGTCCTGGGCGGGCAGGAGAGCGGCCGGGTGCTCACAGAGGACGATTCCCTCTGAGCAGCACCCGCCCGGCTGGCCCAGCGTCAGCGCCCGCAGCGTGTCTGCGGAATGATGGCTGGCTGACTGGAGACAGGAGCTGGGAGCAGAGGATGCATTGAGATTTTCTCTCTGCCCCATTAAAAAGGCTTCAAATTTTTTTTTTTTAATTCTACTTTTTACATCTGTTATTGAATGCCTTCATGTGGCATGAAGGGGAATTCTGGGCCCCCGGGAACAGAGCAGCCACCAAGGCCCAGCCCCTCCCCTCAGGTTGCTCCCGTTTAGCTGGGGAGCTGGGTAATCGTCATGGGAGCGGGTCTGGCCTTGGGTTTGGGGGGCAGCAGGGAGGCACCCACGCAGCCTGGGGATCGGAACACGCTGCAAGGAGACGAGGCCGCCTGGGGGACACTCCGGGAATGAGCGGGGTGAAAGCTGTGTGACCTTGGGCAACTGAACTGACGTCTCTGCGCTTCGGTGTCTTTGTAAAAACGGTTGTCAGTAGTGTCTCCCAGGGTTTGGGGGAAAGATGCTGAGAGGGTGAGATGTGGGGTACGGAGCCTGCCCACAGTGAGTCCCACGTGTGGATCCTGGTTGTCCCATGCGGGTGACAGAGATGATGATGGTGATGCGTCCACAGATGGGGAGGGACAGATGGCAGTGAGGCTGGGGGTGGGGAGGGGGCAGAGGACGCCCTTAGTCACCCTCTCCAGACTCGCCCACCCTCCTCACACACGGGTCACTGACGTTTTGGGGGAGGACCGAGCGCTGCTAGGTCTGACCTGGGAATTCAGAATGCAGACAGCGCCTCCGTGCGGTCCTCATAGCCTTCGGAGCCTGAGAGAGGAGGAGGCTTCGCTAGGTGTCCTGACCCCGTGTCACGTGATCGCAAGCACACTGACGCATGCTCCCCAGGGAAAGGCCCGCAGCCTCACCTCTCTCTATTCTCTTCCCTCCCCTCCTCCCCCTCCCTCTCCCCCTCTCCCCTCCCTCTGTCTTCCTTCCTCCTTTCTCTCCTTCCTGCCCCCCATCCCTTTCCCCTCCACCAGGTCGTTCTCCAAGAAGAGAAGGCACAGGTAAGAACGTGTCCCCTGGCTGCTCGCTCGGCCTCTGCCTTCTGGGCTCCGTGTCCCTTTGCTCGGTGGGCTCAGCCTCTTCCTCTTCCTCTTCCTCCTTCTGGGTCGATTTCCTCCCAAGTAGCTGCCTGGCCTGCCTCCCTGAAAGTCAGCTTTCAGTTTCCATCAGACAAGCTATCGCCCCTGACCAGCGCTGGCAGGGCCCCTCTCCAGACCTCCCGCCCCCCCCCCCTCGCCCCCTTGTGCCAGAACCTCATCTGAGCACTGACAGGCCTGGGAGGGGGCGTGGAGAGAAACATCAGCCTCCCCCCAGCCACAAACACAGCTAGGTACTCCCCATACATCAGAGCCCACACTAAGCCCTTTTCATGAGTGTGCGTCTTTCGTCCCCACTGACCGTCATCACAGCCTGTGTGGTGTGTCCCCCGCAGACAAAGACACTGAGACTCAGGCGCCGGGACAGGCATGTCCACACACACAGTCAGGTGCAGAGCCACACAGCACAGGCTCCTCAGGAACCAGCCACACCGCGAGCAGCTGGCAGGTGCAGGGCCTTCCGTCCCTTCAGGGACAAGTGGCCGTGGTCTCCAGCATCCATTCACCAGCCCAGCCGCCCGGGCCCGGCTCACTGTCACAGCCGATGAGGGGTGTCCGAGAGATGGGCCACTTGCCCGATGTCACACAGCACTGCTGTGGGGCCGGAACTTGAACTTGGGTCTTTCGGGGAGGCCTGTCTGAGTCTCAGTTTCTGAGCCTGTCACCCTCCCCTCCCTCTGAGTCTCAAGCATGAAGACAGATCTGTGGCTCACGGCAAGGTCAGATCCGTGGCTCACAGCTGTGTCAGATCCGCGGCTCACGGCCAGGTCCGATGTCAGTGCAGAAGCCATCCCTCCTGTCCCGGGCCTGGCCAGTCCCTCCTCTTGTTGATTCCTGAAACCTGTCTGCCTTGAAGGCCAATCCGCTCGCCCTCGGGGCCTCCATTTTGTTACACTGGGACCTCGAGTCATGGTTGTCCATCTGTCCATAGCCCAAGCCTCTGACTTAGGAAAAATAAGACACTAAAACCCAAATGCTTGAAGGTGCGTGGCAGAACATTTCCACATCTACCAAGCTTGCTGAGGCTTCGAGTGTCTCCTTGAACACTCTTTCTCTTCCCTCAGATACAGATGGCACAGTGTGTCCGTGCGGGCGCCAAGGGCATGGCTGGGGGCCCCCCCGAGCGGCCATGCCGCTCCCCCCCGTGTGCCCGTGGCTCCTCTGAGGCTCAGTGTCCACATCTGTAAAATGCGTCCTTATCCAGCTCACCCTCTGCCCCTAGTGTGGGAGGGTAGATGAGATGGCGGACAGAGTATTCAGCAGAATGTCCGCTCTGTAATAAACCCTCCGAAATGGCGGTGGTGTCATTGCTTTTATTAGCAGTCACTACCAAAGCCACCCCCACCTCCCGCCCGTGTGGCGGGGTCTCTGGCTGGACCTGCTGGTGAGAGTCCGCGCCCACCGCTCAGGTCTAGGCTCTCGGAGCCGTCCCGCAGCCTGGCTCTCTGGTCCTGGGTGTTATGCCTTTTACCACTTGCTTATGTTTGCCTTTGCCTGGAATTCTGCATCTTTCCGTTCACTGGCCATTCATTTCTCCTTTAGCTCTTCCAGCCCAAAAAGCAAGAGAAGGGAAGAGAAGAGGCACAAAAAACAGTGAGTAGTGACCACTGGACGGTCCTCCCCACCTGGGGAGCTGCCCAGTGACCGGGAACAGAGGGGACAGGCGAGGGGGAGGCGGGAGCGGGAGGACGGAGTTGGGTGTGGACGCCCCCGGGGGCTTGGGAGGCGTCAGGGCACACAGGGATCTGCAGGTGTCAGTGTGTGCATGAGGGTGCGGAGTGTGCTTCCATGTGCTGGCACACCCCTTGTGTGTGAACTGGCGCTCCTGTGCGTGTACTCTGTATTTATGTGTATCTAGTGTGTGTACGTATAGCGCACACACTGTTTATAAATGTCTATAGATTGTCCCGTCATGCAAACATTTGGGTGAGCTGTGTGTATGCAATATGGGTATCTCGTGTGTGTGTGTGTGTGTGTGTGTGTGTGTGTGTGCATGTATGTATTTGTGTTCATCCTAATGCATTACATGTGTCCATGCTTATGTGAGCATGACTGTGTGCACATAGGTGCACTGTCTGCCATTGTATGTGAATTGTGCACCCTGAGTGTGCACTGCTCATATCTGTGTGATTAGGCACTGGAGGTGGGTTGCGGGGTCTTTACCTGTGCACATGTGCTGTGTGTGCACGTGTGTGCTGTGTGTGCACAGGTATGCTTGTGTGCTGTGTGTGCACGTGTGCTGTGTGCTATGTGTGCTGTGTGCGCACAAGGGGTAAGAGGGCATGAGCACATGCATGCACATGCAGGAGGTGCACATAAGCCCGAGCCCTGGCTGCTGGAGCTGGGGGCACCGAGGTATCAGTGAGCCTTTGCCCGTCTTGGGACGTGGCGGGTGCACGGTTCGTAGAAATTCAAATCAGTCGCGCTTCCTGCTGCGTTCACTTCCCAGGCAAATTAAAAGCACATTTGGTGACACCCACCTCCTCTGTCCCTGCAAATGCTAGCGCGCGTGTTTTCCAATCAGCTACCATTTCATCTCCCGCCGAGAGGCCTCTAACTGAGGATCAAAGGCGCCGATGAAAGGAGGGCGCAGAGGGAGGGGGTTCGGCTTTGCGGCTCCCAAGGTCACTGCACCCAAGGTCAGTGCAAAGGAGGGCACTCCAGCCGCCGCCACCGGCGCAGGAGAAAGCGCCAGAAGGAAGCAGTAGCGCTCGGAGTCAGCCCCGGGGGCTTCCTGGTCATCAGGCTGCCGAGGTCAAGAGGCAGTTATTGGTTGTGGGCACCGCATGTGCTGTCAGGCCACGTACAGACGGCGCCGTTCTCTGCGCCCTCAGCCCCAGTTGCCCACTGGGCTGCAGTGCAGACACCCAGAGCCAGGGGCCGAGCCCCGTCCCTAAGGGCAGGGCGGGGTCCTCGCTGAGCCCAGGCCTGCCCGCCTCGGCAGCAAGTGGCCGCCCTCCCAGGGCCAAGAGCCGAAGGAGCCCCAGAAGTCTCTAGAGGAGGGTCACTCCTGCCAAGTCCCACCTCCGGGCTGCTTTTAAACACGTGCCCCGGGGGAGTCAGCCCCTCTGTTCACATCCCTTAGTGAGGCCCGACATCGGGCAGCCCCGTGCTGGCCCCGGGCGAGCACAGCCAGCTTTCCTGTGGCTTCGAGAAGCTCCTGTGCAGGATGCACAGCAGCCGGGCAGGGGCGGAAGGATCTGAGGGGCTGGGAAGGGGGCAGGGCAGTGAGGGGCTTCCTGCAGGAGGGGGGTCAGGGTTGGGGTGAGATGCAGGTTAGGCGAGTGCACAGACTTTCTGTGCCCGCTGTCCTCACCTGGGCACTGGGAATAACAGCAAAGCCTCGCTGTAGGTGCTGTGAGGAACAGCCGAGTCCATTCAGGGAATGAATGCCTGGGACACAGCCTGGCCCGCAGTGTGTGTCAGTGTGGGCTGCTGTCGGGCGGCCGTGGGGAACGGGACATGTGGGAGCCAGAACACAAATGTTTCCGGAGCTGCTGGAGCCACCAGGCCGGGCGCCATCAGGCGGGGAGGCTTCGGAACTAACAGGGTGGCTCCTGGAGGCGCTGGGGTTCCCGGTCAGAGCTCAGAGCGGATGCGAGGGCAGTGGCCTGGTTATCACATTGCAAGGTCCTCAGTCCCGGGCTGAGATAACCAAGCTCCCCCTCCCCCCTAGTCCTCTCTGCCCCCCTGTCCTCCTGGCTCGGCCCAAACCCCGGCACCCGCAGTGGGTGTTCCCGTCCTTGTTGTCGGTGAGAAGGAGCCGGAGCCGCTGTCAGGACACCAGGGGACAGTGGTCGTGGCCGCCGTGCTTTTTGGGGCCGGTGATGTGTGACTCACTCTGAAAGTGGGCTTTTGGCTCCAGGGGAAGATTCTAGACTCCACTTCCAGGGCTGAGGCCACAGAGTGGCAGCCAGAGGCCTCCTGCACTCCGCAGGGGTGTGTGTTTGCCCCAAACAGTGTCCTTTTCAACAACGAGCCACCATTTACAAAGGGAATATTTTACATTGAAAACCTGTAATTCTGCATTCGCTTGAAAAATTAAAAGTCCCGGCACCAGGCCCTTGTTGTGGGCAAAGGCCCGCCTGGCGCACGGGGCGGCTGCTCTCAGCGGGGAGGCGGGTCCTCAGGCGGCATCTCCCAAGGACCCCCCCCCCCCCTGCCCTGCTCACTCTGTGCAGTTCGGCTGTGAGAGGCCCCAGGTGCCCCGTGGGGAGCAAGGGTGATGGGGAGGTGGAGGGAGAGGCTTACCTTTGGCAGGGACATCGGCACAAGGTTAGTTACACGAGTCCGATCAGACTGCATCCCAGTCCGATCAGGTCAGTCACTCAACCTCTCTCTCTCTCTCTCTCTCTCTCTCTCTCTCTCTCTCTCTCTTTCTCTCACTCTCTCACACTCTCTCTCTTTCCTTGTCCCTCACCCCAAGATCGCGAAGCCGGCCCCGAAAGTCTCACCGCCTCCGCCACCACCACAGGCCCTCGCGATCCCAGAGCTCGGAGTCCCGGTCCTCCAGCTGCGAGAGCAGGTAGCCCCGCGCCCCAAAGGGCCTCTCCCCCGGCCGCTGCCCAGAACTCAGTTTCTGTTACATCAGCTTCGCCTCCCACTCTGCTGTCCTAGGAGAGGGGTTCTCCCCTCCCCCTTCACATCCTCTCCCTCCCCCCCTCCCCCCGCACTGTCATCACCACTAACCAGCTAAACAGCACACATGCCTCCTAGGCCCCTGTAGTCGCACTGGGGTGCACAGGCTCTCCCGCTCTCAGCTGCAGGGGCCCCATTCTAGAAATGAGGAAACCGAGGCACAGAGAGGTTAGGCACTTGCTCCTCACTTAGCTGCTGAGTGACAGACGAGGATTGAATGGAATCTCTGGCTCTGGACTTTGCACTCCCACTAAGGGTTGCTCTAAGCACAGAGATGTTAAACAACCTCCAAAAGGTCACACAGCACCAAGTGCCTCGTTCTGAGGCCCTTCCAAGTGGGGTCCCTCCTCCTCTGGGCCCTGCCTTGCTGACACGCTGGCTGGGCGGCCTGAGGGGAGCAGAAGGAGGGACTTTGTGGGCGGAGGGGCCGGTGATGGATGTGCAGCGGGAGCAGCAGGCCAGCTTCTGGAAGCCGGCGGCCGCTTGGTTTTCCTTAAACGCTTCTCCCACGTGGCTGCGTGTGCACGTCACCCGGGCGGTGTTAGATCTCACGTCCTTGTCCGCTGCCCCCAGTCTGCTGAGAAGCTCCAGGGCCAGGAGGAGGGGAAATGCTCCTTCCAGCCCACGCTGCCTGGCACTGAGCTACCTTCCACGCACGTTTCTCTCTCAGCCATCCCAGAGGCCACGGGCCAGCCTGGCCTTCTGCGCCATGGCTGCGCTTCGCCGGCCCGCCCTGCACATGGTCAGATTCCGTCCGATGAGGGCGGGGCGGGAAGGGAGGATTTCCCGTTTCCCTGGGCCAGGGGTCGGTCGGCAAACTCATTAGCCCACAGAGCCAAACATCAACAGTACAACGATTGAAGTTTCTTTGGAGAGCCAAATTTTTTAAACTTCTTCTAACGCCACTTCTTCAACATAGACCCGCCTAGGCCGTGGTATTTTGTGGAAGAGCCACACTCAAGGGGCCAAAGAGCCGCATGTGGCTCGCGAGCCACAGTTTGCCGACCACGGCCCTGGGCGATGTGAGCGAGGAGCGAGCGTGCGGAGCCACAGAGTGCCCTTCCTGAGAGTCAGAGGCGCCCTGGCCGGCACGGCGGGCAGGGTGGCAGACCCCGGCCCGGCAGGCTTGCGGGAGGCATCTTTGTCGCTTGTCAGCTATATTTTCCCCCAACGTTTCGGTGACAGTCAGAGAGATGCTTGTTTCACAGATGGCGGAGTCACATACACAGAGATGCACAGAAATCTGCGGTTATATTTATAGACAAACACAGGAAAATACAGACAGTTAGGCCACGACACACATCACACACATCACACACAGGCGCAGGCGCACAGACAGCTCTCAGAGGTGCGAAGGGCCCTACCCTGAGTCAGGGAAGGGGCCTTTCTGTCTTCATAGCTGCGTCCCAGACCCTAGAACGGTGTCAGGTGCGTAAACAGGCATCTGTTAAATGCACAGGTGAGACGGTGAGAGGATGAATGCACGGGCGGGTGTTTGGATGGATGCGCGTGGAGTTCATACAAACACCCCAGTCCTCAGGTCCCACGGGGCCTCAGCCTCCTCTGCCAGCTCCCCTGGCAGACGCTCAGGCCTCTCTCCTGCCCCCAGGCGCCGCAGCCGGTCCCCTGAGGAAGGCCGGAAGTCCCGCCACAGGCACTCCCGCCGCTGCTCCAAGACCCTCAGCAAGGCCAGCCCCCAGGCCCCGTCCAGCCTCCCGCCCGGCCAGCCCCTCCCGATGCTCAGCCTGCTGTCCGCCAGGGGTGTAGTAAGTATTCCGCTCGGCTCCTGGGCCAGCCGCGGCCACGGCACCGGGGCAGGGGAGGGGCAGGGGGGGGGGCAGGCACAAGCGCAGGGCCATGCACATCACACGTTGATTCGGTTTCGGGCAGACAGCCCCCCAGTTTCGGGCCTCGTGGCAGGTCCATCCCAGTGCTCGTTCAGCAGCCTCTGGCAGCACCCGGCTGGGGACCTGGGGCTGGGTGGGAGGTCAGACAAATGGAAACACCCAGGGGATGCTGAAACATACGTGTTTGACAGTGTCCAGAGTGACATCTTCAGGGACATGTGTGTGCGGCACTGTGGGAGCCACCTGGGGGAGGAAGGGACGGGGGTCTTAGAGGGACCAGGCTTGAATGAATGGGGCCAGCCCCCAGTGACTGCCACCGGGATGTGGCCTCACTGTGTAAACACAGCCCTGCCTGCACGGCCCTGCATCACTCACGGTCCACAGAGGATGGGGGGAGAGGGGGTGGGCATAGCTGGTCTCCCAGTCCCTTCAGATGGGACAAAAAAAAAAAAAAGAAGGCTCCGAGAGGCCGCGGTCTGGGGGTCGCGGTCTGGGGGTTGCGATCTGGGGGTCGTGGTCTGGGGGTTGCGGTGTGGGGGTTGTGGTCTGGGTACACACCACAGAGCAGAGCAAAAGCAAGCGGACCCAGGCCGCACGCCCCGTCAGCGGTGACGCTGGGCTGTGGCTCCAGACCGACCGCCCAGCCCCGGGAAGGGGTTGGGGGGAGGGGACCGGTCCCAGCGTTGCCACTGCCGGCCGGGCCACTCCAGGAGGTTACAGCCTCATGGAAATGCGGTTTTCTCCCCGGTAACACACTCACCGGGGTGGTTGGGGACATACAGCCACGTAGAGGCTATGACAGCCTGTTGTAGGTGCTAAAGGGATAGACAGACAGACAGACAGACGGGGACTCAGGCCTGCAGGAGCCTGCCTGAGCGACTGCCCGGTGGAGGGGCCCAGCTGCCTGGCCAGGAGCAGACGGGCGGTTTCAGACGGCTGCTCCCTTAGCAAGGATGTGGCGGGAGACGGGGAAGAGGTGCTTGCCGGGAGGTCGGGGAAGAGAAGGCGATGACAGACCTCGCTGGGTCTCACTGACACTCTGGTTGGCTCCGCCGTGCGTTCTGAACCCTCCGGTACCTGCCAAGGCGCCCTGGGTCACCCAGGTTCCGCGTTGCTCTATCCCTCCCTCCCCCTTGCTGGAACCCACACCTCCCAGCTCCTCCCAGGCGAGCCCGGGTGCTGGTGCGGCACCTGCATGCCGCCCTCCGATGCTCGCTGCGCCCTGTGTGCAGAGGTTCGGAGTCCAGTCCCAGGCTTGGCTCTGTGGTTCCTTCTGTCCCTCCCAGCCTCAGCTTCCTCACTGCAAAACGGGGACATGCTCTCCCGGAGGGACTGCTGGTGGGAATGAGTTTACAATCCAAGCAATAAGGGCAGAGGAATGCTTCTAAGTCAGTGAAACCCCCGTCTCCCTGGTCATGGCACTTGTGGCCAGCCATTCGGTGGCCCCGTGACCCTCATGAACAAAGGTCCCTGGGAGCCACCGGCTGTGTCACCAGCCTGGTGGGGGGTGGGGGGGGGGTGGTCCTGACAGTGCAGGTCTGCAAGGAAGTCGGGGGACGTGGTCCTTCCACAGCCAGTGGAGGATGAGAAGGCTGCTGGCTCTTGAAACTATGATGTCCCTGTGGGCCCAGCCCTTCTCAGAAGAGCTGAGAGCTCGTCCGTATAGAAGGCAGGGAGCTGGTGAGCTCGCCCCGATTCCAAGAACCGGAGCCTCACAGGAGGCCCAGGACTCCGCAGCCACGGCCGTCAGAGCTGTGAGCGCGCAGCCATGACTGTGTGGCCGGAGCCGGGCGCCACGCCGGGCATCGCTGCCACAGCCTTTGGAGCCACAGGTCCTTCATCTGCTAGAAACATGGCGATAAGGCTCTTCCTCCGAAGCCCCGTTGTCAGGACAAGAGCAGAGCCATGTTGTGACCTCCGCTCCTGTGCAGGCACAGGACAGGGCCCGCATGTGTTAGTTGGTGTCATGACAACAGCGTCGCGGGGCTGGCCCCGCCCCTCCCACGGGGACCTCAGCAGGTTCCGTGAACTCGCTGTGCCTGTTTCCTCGAAATCTGTAAAACCCAGATGACAAGGTGACGGACCCCCTCACAGGTATGCTGTGAGGTCCAGGGAGTCCGTGTAAGGGAGCACCTCCGGCTGCCGCAGGCGCCGGCACATGCTGCTGTGGCGGACGCTCATGAAGGAGCCGTGGAAGCAGGAATGGCAGCAGCCGTGGTCATTGAGACACGGATTAGTGTGGTTCTGGCCCAGGCTACACAGCGGGTGAATCGAGTCTTAGAGCCAGGCCCTGCTCCCTCTGCCTTCAGTTTCCTTCCGGCCTAGAGGGCGGCTGCAGCCCACAGGGCTGGGCCCACCCCACTCGTGCTTGCCTGACTTGTGGGTACATCGGATGCTCCCAGTTCTGGCCCTCTGATTGCCCTCCACACCAGACCCACTCTCAACTGCTCTCCTGCAAAGGCAGAGAGGAGAGGAGGTGCCAGGGGGGACCTGGCCCCACGTGTTCCCTGAGCTCTCTGTTAGAGAACAGCAACGCCACTGTCATTGATCACCATCCAGCCACCCGTTCCAATCGGCCAGTTACCCGCTGAGCATCCATGAAAGGTCCGCTCTGACCTGGGTCTGGGGATCCAGCGGGTGAGGAGCGGTCCACACCTTCACAGGCGGCAGCAGTCGGTGGAAACTGTGTAAGACCCTCCACAGCAGTGAGTGCAGGGACGCGAGGCGGGCTGAAAGGTGGCCGGCGGGCACAGGGCTGGGGGTTATGTTAGGGCAGAGAAGGCTAACTATCTGGGAAACCAGAGGTGAGCGGGAGTGAGCCGGAGGAAGCAGGAAGTGAAGGCTGGAGTCTGGGATGGAGACAGTTCCAGGACAGCAGGTGAGGGGTCTAGAGTAAGGTGACTTACTTTTTGAAATCGGGACTTTTTTTAAAACGCCGCGGGATGCGGGACAAATGGTTAAAAATCGGGACTGTCCCACCAAAAGAGGGACATCTGGTCACCTCAGTCTAGAGAGGACAGGGACCTGAGCAGGAAGGGTCTCCTGGGCTACGGTTCCTGGTTCCTGCCCCACTCCACTGCAGGCATTTCACATGCACAGCTCTTTGAAAAATCAAGGGCGGTGTATCACATCAAGGGGCATATTTGCATATATGAATATGCAAATCTGGGGTCCTGTCTCCTTGAAATCCTACTTGGTGAGCTAAAGATAACCTGAAGCCCTCTTGCTGGGCCTGAGCTCAAACCCAAAGGAGGGTCCCAAGGAAACGACTTAGGGACCCTCCTCAGCCTCACTCATGTTCCTTATCTCCACTCAGCCACCTCGTCCAGGCCTCGGAGAGACAGAGACATGAATAAAAGACTCCCCTTGAACCCCAGAGCTCACAGTCTAGTAGTCAACAGAATGCTGCAACACAGTGCGATAAGTGTTGTAATTAGGGCTGAGACTGAGCCGGTGAGCACCTCCTCAATTGTTAAAATATTCAAATACTTGCATACCAGTTGATAAATAGACCCTGTCATCACCATCTCCACCCCCCACTGCCACCCCCGCCCTCTCCCCCACCCCATTCAACAAAGCATCTCCTTTCTCCTCTCGTACTTTCTGGACCTCTTACAATCCAGCAACTAAAGAGTTATACTGGACAGCGCTTCAGTACCAAGGCCAGCGACCTTTGGAAGGAGTACCCACACCAAACCAATTAGTTGAATATTTGTAACATCACTTCTAATGATGATGGAAGCAGATACAATGGGTAGTAGGATCACAGAAGAAGGACCAGACAATATTGTCTTGGTGTCTGAGAGGGCTTTATAAAGGAACATTTGAGCTGGGCTTTGAAGGATGGGTAGGAGTTCACCAAAATGAGATGGATGATGACAGAGGGAGGGGGAAATACCTCTATGTGCCAGGCCCTGTCACGTATTTTACACAGCTTTTTCCTCACTTGATCCACGGAATAGTTTTTTGAGATAGATACTATTATTAGCACTATTTTTCAGATGGGAAAACTGAGGCTGAGAGAGGTGAAATGACTTAGGCAGGTAGCCCAATGGGAGGAAGGGGAGCTGGTTTGAATCATGGCTTGTGCCGCAGAAGCTCACTTTGAGAGCCAGAGCAGGTTGGTTGGTGGCCACAAGGTTTGGCAACTCCCTGTTGACAAAATAGGAAGCATATCGCCGTGTAACCAGGAGGGTCTGGACGGGGCTGACGGAGACGGAGGCCAGACCTTGGAGAAGGGCAGGCTCTGATTCTCCTCCTCCCGAATCTGGCTTGGGCTAACGGTTGCCACAAACTCATTGCCAATAAAAATCTGCACAGATGTCACAATACAAAACAAGAAGGAAGAAAAGCAGAACTTGGGGTCCATAAAAATGGGTCTCTTGACGTGTGTCTACAAGAAGAGGCAAAAGAGGGCAGTGATGAAGACTTTGAGGCAGGTCTGGATACTCGAAAGTTCTTGACCTTGTCTTCCTGTGAGACCCAGGGTAACAGTAATAATTAATGCTTCTGAGCACGTGCTATGTGCCAGGTGCTAGGCTGAACTCTGTACAGGTATCATCTGATTCATTGATCCGAGTAGCCCTTCAAGGGCTTCCACGAATACCCTCCTCTACAACGAGGGAACCACAGCCTAGAAGAATTTAGGAAGAGGCAGCTCCTCGGTGGAGAAGTTTGATCCACACCCAGAACGCCCGACCTCAGAGACCATGTGTGTGGCTGCTCGGCCCCCTCATGTCATTTCTCTGCGCTGGGCCTCAGTGTCCTCGTCTGTACCTTGGCTAATCAGGTAGACGTGCAGAGGGAATGAGATAAACTCTTCCTTCATTTGAAGACACACATGAAGCACCTACTGTGTGCCAGGTACCGGGTGAGCAGGCAAGGTCCCTGCCTCAGGCAGCTGCAGTTCCGTGTGGAAA